TTTTTTTAAATTTGATTGTACAATATTTTGATTTATTAATATTTCTCGTTTCAATTTTTTTGCATAACATACAATTTTTCAGGATCCGCTATCCATAAAATCCAAGCCACGATTTTGACCTGCTAATTGTTCACTGTTGGTTTTTGATAATCCTCTTCCCCTACATATCATTCAAGGTAAGTTAACTATTATAAACAATTTGTCATTTACTATATCATATAATTGCTCGTTATTGATTTATGTAAAGCCTTTGCAAAAATCCTTATTTTATTATTCTTACTTACATTCTAAGATGTCTCACATTCTTATTTATAGTGATTGTGTAAAGTTATTAAACTCTAAAAAAATAATTTAATTTTATTTCTAAATTTTATATTATACGGAGCATCTAACTTTCTCTAAAACAATTTTTTTCATGAGTTCAGAGAAATTGTTGTTTCTCATAATAAATTTTAATTACTAAATTCCCTATATGATTCAACCAATGCTTTTTGAGAGTCCGATAACATGAATAACTTTAACCCTTTATTCATTCATCACAATCATTAAAAAGTAACTATCACGAACTTTTTATCCTCATATCCATATGAGTCCATTGAAGCTCCCCAAATTCAAATAATTTTATCTTTTCTTGACTTCGTTAGCATTATTTCTTTTAAATATTCTTTTTCTTTATTGGAAAATGTCTAAATTTTTTAATTTATTTTGACATATCCTTGCAAATTCATGTTGTTTGTCTCCACTTTAATTCTTACATCCATAGCGAGAAAATCTTCTGATTCTTTTTCAATCTTTATTTTTATTTTACTGGTTTTAAAAGCTATCTAAACATCTTTAAAGCATTTAAGCTTTATTTCATAAACCCTTCGTAAATAGGATACCAAAAAAATCATTTATATGTTTCTTAAATTGTTTTAATGATTTACAATATCATTTATTTTCATTATGTGTAGTACGATGCTATCAACTGAAATAGAGAGTAGCTATGATAAACTCTATTTGTTTAAGACATACAAAGTATTGGTATGCATGAAGCATGCTTATGAGAACTTTATTAAATTGACATATTGTTCTCTAAATCATTTCAGCTTTTTAGTTTTGCATAGAATTATTTGTTTAGAAAATATAATTTAATAAATTTGATAAAAAAATGTCTTGCAAGAGAGGCAAATGAGGGGTTTTGAGAGGAGTTGGTATGTACTTGCAAAGTTGTTCAGGGTATGCAGCAGGGAGGGTCGCAAAAGAGTCAAAAGAAGGGAAACTCTGAAATAACAAGTTTATGTTTGGTGTCAGGTTATTAACCATTTGCGACTTGTCTTATGCTCCATTTGCAATAGAGCGATGTTTTGGTAGAACAATATTCAGGTATACATTCAGTTGTACTTAATCATTGTATATTTGTAGCAAGAAATTCATCTTACATTTGTCATTTTAAAGGTTAATGGTTTTTTTTTTTCTTCTGCTATTTGGTCTACCATTTTAAGAAACTTTTCTTTTTCGCTTGAGTTAATTACTAAGCTGAATTATTGAATTTTTTTTCGTTAGTGTGCATAACAGCTTAATTATAGTATCTACGTAGAATCTCACGTATGTTTGTGGCTTCATAAAAAATATATATTAATTATGTTCATATATCTTACTCTTTAACTCCATCTAAGGTCAGATGAACATTCCCCACAAGAAGAACAACAAATGCAGCCAATCTTCATTTTGTTGCCTCCAAAGATGCATGATTATATAATGCCACAAACTCAATTGGAAATTGACAAATCAGTAGTATGAACTTTGTTCCCTTTATTTTTTATAATCATACTCCATGCTTAAGATAGTTCTCTTTTTTAATATTTTTATTTGTATCGAGTTCTCACCAACATATATTTGTTTAGTTTCATCCAATAACAACCTTTCAGATTGTTAACTTTGAATTCTTCAACTTCTTACCAAATTAATTTCAATCGCCTACGCCAATTTTAACCCGCACTGAACCTCGACTTAGGAATTCTTCCAATGATTCTTTAGATATTGCGATGATACCAGAGCAGCTTGGATGGCCTGCTAATCTAAGGGAAATCTCTACGCGTGTGCATCATCGCAACAAAACAGGTGCGTGGATCTGCTTAAGGATGTAACCAATTCAAATGTTAGCCCCTAACTCCTTATTTCTTTGCTTATCTTCTCTGAAACAGGTTTTACACTGCTCAGCATAAATATGTGATTGCTGTTGTGATACTTAATAAATCATATTTCTAACTTGTTAGTATAAGGGCCTATTTGGTTGCAGCTTTATGGCATGATTGAAAATGCTATTTGGTGGTAGATTTTGAGCAGGATTAAATCTAAATTTATATAAAATACTGGCAAGTTGTTTTTGTTGGGATTTTAATTGAATCGAAGAATTCTTAATTTCAGTGGAAGATTGGATTTCATTGATGTAGGTGTTGTTTGATAGCAACATTTCACATGATTTAACCACGATTAATATAAAATGTTTTATACATAAATTATTACTCATTCTAGACTTATTTGTTGCGGCCTTTTCCTTCATCTTCTTCTGCTTGTTTGCTTTTAAAAAGTTAAACTTATTACGCAAAACAATTAGCATTTTGTTATTCCTACATTTATTGTTCTATTGTATTTCTTATTGATCTTGTTTAAATTCTTTAAATTTTTTTATCCAAGTCTTAAATTGACTGTGAAGATGGACATAAAACGTTCTCCTCCTGATGTCAGTGTCTTAATGAATCAGGCATCTACCTGCGTAAATTGCCTAGCTGATTATAGCACTATCTACTCGTTGAATGAGATGGTTTTTCACGACATAGTTCTCAGGCTTAGGAAAGTTGAATGTTGTGAAATTTAGCTACAATTGTGTTTAGTTGATCTTCCAACTACAAAAGATGACACCTACGCCTAAGTGCATATTGTTTGATAATTTTGCACATCCTTTTGATGGACTAATCATGCATTAATATATATTTTTTTAATGATTAACCTATTTTTTATACTCCATGCTTAAGAATGCATAAAAATAATGATCGAAAATAGTGCTGCATAAAGCATGACTCATTTAATTAGAAGGGAGCAAAAAAAATAGTTTAATTGTAAGCTTTAGCTACATTTGACTGGTTTGACAGGTTGGCCGGCTTGGATTTGACCTACTTATTAAACTTGTTAGATCTGATCCAACTGATTTTATGGTTACTCCAGTTCTTATTGTTATCCAAATCATAAAGGAGCATATTCCAAGTTTGACTGCCTGATTTGTTCTCATGTACTTGTTTACATCGTTGCTCTATCATGCTATAGTTTTGTGAACATACATAAGTGGAACTTTCTGTTGACAACATCCTTGTGAGCCTTCTGTTCCGTTCTATCTTTTCTTATTTGAAGACTTACTTTATATGTGAAGTCATGATGGTTTTGCCTTTTCCAAAATGTTTTTCGAATTGTTCTTCTGCTAAATATTTTATTTATTTATTTCTTATGCTAAAGATTTGGTTAGTCTGACAGGGAGAACAAGAATCTCACTGGAACAGCACGGTATGCTAGCGTGAATACTCATCTTGGTGTTGGTACGTTCCTCATGTTTCAAGTATATTTAACCATTTCATAACCCACCTTAGATTGGAGAAAAAAGTAACATTAATGTATATCTTGTAGAACAAAGCGGAAGGGATGATATAGAAACTCTTGGTTATGTGTTCATGTTTTTTTTGAGGGGAAGGTTAGATTCTTCTAAACATTTCATTTAGTTTGTTCTCGTTGTTCGTTATTTTTTGGGGGGCATCACCAGAACAACGTCATCATCATAATGCCTCAATATCTTCAAGAGGAAGGGCATAACATGACTATTTTTTATCAGTCTTCCATGGCAGGGGTTGAAAGCCGGAACAAAGAAGCAAAAATATGACAAGATTATTGAAAAGAAAATGTTAACTCCAGTAGAGGTACGCAATTCTAAGCCCCATTCATTTTCATGCATAATATCTCATTTTTTGAAAATGCTGGGAGTATTCCTATCAAATTTACGTAGCATTACGGGAGAGCTAGATTAAAAATCCTTGGCACTGATAATTCTGATTCAGGTGCTGTGCAAGACATTTCCAACCGAATTTGTCTCGTACTTCAATTATTGTCGTTCTTTGCGGTTTGAAGACAAACCAGATAACTCTTACTTGAAGAAGCTTTCTCGGGACCGCTTTATTCGAGAAGGCAATTTCAATTCATTGAAATAAACACAGAATGCATTTTTTTGCTGAATTTGTGGCCGCAGTTAACATTCTTTTCAACATTTACAGGATACCAATTTGACTATGGGTTTGACTGGACTCGTTTGAAGTATCCACAGATGGATGCAAGTACTAAAGCAAGAGTATGTTATTTATCGTTTACTTCCACGTGTCGATCATTTACTTTCGTTACTTTTATTCAATCTCACTGTACCCCAGCAACCTCTTGTAAGAAATGCTCCAGTTGCCGGCCCATCAATGGTGAAGGCAGAAAGGTCATCAGGTTTGTAATGAGTACCAATAAGTTTTCTGCTATTTTCAGCATCCTTTATTCATTTATGCACCTGCAAGAGTTGATTGTTAGTAAATTTTATTTTCAGTTGGCCAAGAAATTCATGATAGATTCGCAGGTGCCGTGGAAGCATTTGCTAGAAGAACTGGTTCAGCTGCTGCTCATCATGGTGAGCATTCCAAGCACAAAACTCTAGATGACGCACCACTGCCATCCAAACAAAATGTAAGTTACTCCTAATGCAGTTTCTCACCTTGTCCTACTACACTGCACCTAGCCCCGGAGCCTTGAGCAGTTTTTTATGCATGGTGTATCTCATGGTTAATAGCTCAGTTTTTTTTTTTTTGAGAAACAGGGCGAACCCTAATTAAATCAAAGCAAAAATTACTAAGTGATAAAAAAATTGAGTGATTAGAGATGAATAGAAGTTAACTATAAAGAGATAGATAGGAAAACAATAGAAAATAGTTGAATTGGACAAGAAGCCAAGCGACAATTGTCTAGGCGATATTACTCATTTTCTTTCCATAAGAATTATGAATCCAAAAGAAAGCTAGATGAATAATTGTGAATTTAAAAGCATAATCTTTTTTTTTTTTTGTATTAGAAAAATATTTAGTATTTATCATAGTCCAAAATGATAGCTGGTGCATTAAAGGACATCTCGAAGTTCTGTAATTTTTTTAAAGGAAGTATTTTTCTGAGAGTTGAAAGGTTTTTATCCAAATTCACAATACAACATTATATTAAAATGATTCCAAATGTTAGATATATAAGCACACCTAAAAAAAAAGTATGGAAACCATCCTCCTGCAAGTCCATATTTGGGTCACAAAAAACATAATTGATGACCCTTTTAGAAAAGGATAATTTGTAAGGAATTTGTATCATGAAATAAACTAGAGGAGCGCATTCGATCTTAAGTGGAGCAATATATTTTCAAATTCAAGAAGTACAAGGAATAAATGTGAGCCCCTAACTCCTTATTTCTTTCCTTATCTTCTCTGAAACAGGTTGTCCACTGCAAAGCATAAATACGTGAGTGCTGTAGTGATACTTAACCCAAAATAAATCATATTTCTAACTTGTTAGTATAAGGGCCTACTTGGTTGCAGCTTTATGGCATGATTTAAATTGCTATTTGGTGGTAGATTTTGAGCAGGAATAAATCTAAATTTATATAGAATCTTGCCAAGCTGTTTTTGTTGGGATTTTAATTGAATCGATTAATTATTAATTTCAGTGAATGATTGGATTTCATTGATTGAGATGTTGTTTGATAGTAACATTTCACATGATTTAAGCACGATTAATATAAAATGTTTTAGACAAAAATTATTACTCATTTTAGACTAATTTGTTGCGGCCTATTCCTTCATCTTCTTCTGCTTGTTTGCTTTTAAAAGGGTTAACTTATTACGGAAAAAAAAAAATTGCATTTTCTTATTCCTACATTTATTGTTATATTCTATTTCTTATTAATCTTGTTGAAATTCTTTAAATTTTTTTATCTAAGTCATAAATTGACTGTGAAGATGGACATAAAACGTTCTCCTCCTCATGTCTGTGTCTTAATGAATCAAGCATCTACCTGCGTCAATGGCCTAGCTAAGGATAGCACTATCTACTCGTTGAATGAGATGGGTTTTCATGACATTGTTCTGAGGCTTAGGAAAGTTGAATATGATGAAATTTAGCAACGGTTGTGTTTAATTGAGCTTCGAACTACAAAAGCTGACACCTATACCTAAGTGCATTTTGTTTTATTATTTTGCAGATCCTTTTGATGGACTAATCATGCATTAATATATATGTTTTTTAATGATCCATATGTTGAAAAGGATATTTTTATCTTTCTTTTGAGAATTCGTTTGTAGTTATCTTCAATAATACTTACTTTTATGTTTGATTTGGGACATCTTCTTTATTGCTTATTAAATTATCTTTTTAAGTTAAATTGTTAATTGTGTGACGTTATCTCTGTTACGGTTTGCCTGTGTAACTCTACGTGGCAGAATTTTGATTGTCAAATATCTCTTTGGTTATCA